GCCGAAGCGTGAGGGCTGCCGCGGGCCTGTGCAGCAGGCGGTAGGCTGGATACGGCTGCGGCGGGGTGGCAGCCCTGCTGCTGCTGCTGCTGCTGCTGCTGCTGCCCAAGCGCTGGACGCGGCAGGAGGTGCGGCGTGGGCGGGGAGCGGCGCACCCTTCTCGATCGCTTTCTTGATCTTCAGCTTCTCGTCCTTCTCCTCCTTCTCGCACTTCTTGGCTGCCCGAACCAGCTGCTTGGAGGTGAATTTGAGGTTGAAGATCTGGTCCATGAGCTGCGGCAGGCGGAGAGGGGGAGGAGGTGAGGGCGGCGGCGGCGGCACTGGCGGCAGCGAGGCTCGGGCGGCCCTGCCTCCAGGCAGCCCGGCGGCCGGCGGGGAGCTCCTGAAGGCCCTGCCACCTTGTCATTGGTGCTAAACATGGCCGCTGGCTGCTACCGCGTTGCGCAAGCCGCTGGAGATCGTCGGCCGGGACGGTGGGTGGTGGGCAGCGTGTCTCTGGCGGGAACAGGCGCTGCAACAGCGGATGGTGGTGCCACTGGCCTGTTTAGGGCCTGCCCCGGTGGCAGTGCCACGGTGCAGGGCGCCAGAATCGGAGCAGGTCTCTTCCCCTCCTGCCACAGCCGACCAGTCGTTATTCCCTGCTGCACACGGCCAGTCAGCGGCGATCGCCGTCTGCTAAGCTGCAGCCGAAACCGCAGACGCTTCGGGCCAACCCCTGACCTGCCAACCCCAAGCACCCAGACCGTTTGCGCTGCCAATGCAAGCCGGTGCCTCCCTGGCACTGTCAGCCGGGCTGGCCGGCGGGCAGCAGGGGCGTGCAGCCTCCGCAGCCGCCGGCCTGGCAACAACAGGTGCAGCAGGTGCGCAGGGCGTTCATCTTTGAATTTCTGGGCCGTGTGATGCCTCCCGGCCGCCGTCGGTGGCCGCTGACTGGCCGCAGCGGCCCCGCCCACGCCCTTCCCGCCGCTCTCGCCTGCCCGCCCGCAGAGCTGCTCCAGCGGCCCGCCGGCCGCCCCGCCGTGTGCTGCCGCGCCGTGGTGCGCCGCGTGGAGGCCTTTGCGCAGGGCTACAGCCCCGGCTATGGCTCGCGAGGCTTTGACGGCACATACGAGCGCGTGCTGCGCTACCCTGACGGGAAGGAGCGGCGCATCCGCTACCCGCTGCCGCCGCCTGCGGAGGAGGTCAAGGAGGAGGATGTGACGGATGGCTGCTGGGCCACAGACTGCTGGATCCCGCGGGAGCAGCACTGGGGCGGGCCGCCCCGCGGCGCCTCCGCCGGCGCCACCGCCACCGCCGTCGTCGCCAGCGCCGCCGCCTCGCCGCCCGCGCAGCACCCAGCAGACTTCCTGCCGCAGCAGCCACCCGCACAGGTGCGCCCGCGGGCCGCCTGCGCCGTCCCGCCGCCGTCGCGCAGTGGCCGCCGTGCCACAGCCCGCTTTATGCACCGCCGGCCAGCCCCGCTGCCGTGCCTGGGCCGCCGCCGCCGCCTGCCGGCACCCAGAACTTTCCGCGCCGGTGCCGGCACACCCCCTCTGCAGCCGGAGCGCGCCCAGGTCCCCTCCTCTCCCATGGAGCTCCTGCGGTACCTCAACTCGCCGGAGCACAAGCAGTCCCAGGAGCAGCTGTGGCAGAAAGTGCGGGGCAGCTACGAGGTGGGTGACGGCGCCCTTGGCATCGGCGGTGGAGGAGCCCCTCGTGCCTAGGCGCAGGCGCCGCCTTGGCTGGGCGTCCCGCTGGATCCCAGCTCCCTCATTTTTGGCAGCCACTCCTGCCACGGCCGGCTGCCTGGCAGCAAGCATGGTGGAGTCGGCTGACGGCGGCGCAGCGGCTTGCCAGCGAGCAGCGCCGTGCAGCCGGCCCGGCGTGCGTTGAACTGGCGCCCTGCGTTTGACCACTGGCGCCTGGGCGCTGCCGCCGCCTGCAGGTGCTCTGCGAAGTGCCCTGGGTGGCACCCAGGCCGCTCTACCTGCTCGCGATGCAGCAAACGGCGGCGGCGGCGGCGGCGGCGGCGGAGCCCTCCCCCGGCCTGACGTACAGCCTGCGCACGCGGGTGGCGCGGGCCGACACCGAGGACGAGCTGTCGCGGGTGCTGCGGCGCCGCGCGGCCGACGGCTCTCCGCTAATCCGGTGCAGCGAGATGCGGGACGGGGTGGTGGCGTTTGAGGACGAGGCAGATGCGGAGCGGTACGGGCAGCTTCTGGAGGCCGAGGGGCTGGCAGAGGTGGGTGCCAGCTGTGGGAGGGGTGGGGAGCTGGGCACAGGGCCGGGCGCTCGACCCGCGCGGCTGCCTCGCTGCAGGCGTCAGCGCCTCACCGCGCCGAGACGCCGCAGAGCAGCGCTCAAGCGCATGGCCTTCCATCTCAGGCCAACAGCAAGAAACAAGAAACATCCCCATGCATCAATCGACGCGCGGCGCCCGCTCCCGCCGCCCCCCCCGCCCGCCACCGTTGATGTCAACCCCCCGCCTGCCGCCGCCGCGTGCCGCAGGTCAGCATGGCGCGCTGCGATTCGCACGACCTTTTCCGCAGCGTGCAGGACGTGCGCGGCGTGGTGGTGCTGCTGCGTGCCGGCGGCGCCTTCCTGCCGCAGCCCCACCAGCTGGCCGCCTCGCTGCGCAGCACGCCCGGCGGCGGCGCGGGCGGCGGCGGCGGCGGCGAGCCGCTGTTCGACTGAGGGTTGCGCCGTCCTGGGCTGGACGCCCCGCTCGCCAGGCCAGCAGTGGACGCACATCCCTGCTGCCGCCCCTGCGCCCCGCTGGCTCCCGTATGCCGTCTCGCAGCGCGTGTGTTGTGCCTAGTCCCCACCTGTACCTAGCTGCCCCACCCCGCCCCTTGTTTCTGCCTTCCCGCGGCTGCGGCGCTGTGCGCCGGCGCTTGGCGGCCACCTCAGCTGCCACCTCAGCTGCCACCTCGGCGTCGCCACGCCGGCACCCCTCTGGGCTGCCGCAGCCGCTGCTCAGCCGACCCCCCTTCTGCCTAGATCTGATGCCATGTGATTCGCCTCGACTCGCCACCTGTCGCTAGCTGCCCCCCAACCTAGCTGTGCGCCACCCCGGCCTCGATTGTTGTTTGTTGTGGGGCCAGCCCCTGCCTCACACCACCACACATCCACAACGGAACCAGCCCGCGAAATTGATTCATGCACCCCCACCCGATACGCACTGCTCTGCTTACCCGCTTCTGCACCTCCTCCCTCGACCATGCATGCACGCATGTGTGCCGTGTCTCTCTCGCCTGCCCGTGTGCACGTCGCCCCCCCTTGTCTGGTCCTGTGACCTTGCCCGCCGCCGGCCTGCACCGCAGCGCTCCCACCCTGTACATCTGTCGCCCGCCACGCGAGCCCTGTCCCTCCCTCCTCCATGCATGTCGGGCCCCTCGCCCTCCCTCGCCTCTGCCGCTGAAATCTGCCGGCCTGTGTATGAGTAAAGCTACCTGTAGCGCGCGCCGCGGCTGCCCCCGCAGCGGCTGCCCCTCGCGTCCCCAGCATCCCCAGTTTTGGTCCTCCTGTCGCATCTTTGCTGTGCCATAGCTGTAACACTCGCAGAGTCCAAAAGGGCATGAGGGATGAATTGAATGTTTTGGTGTGTGTGTTGGTAGTACAGGCAGAGCAAGTGGCAACATGGCAGGTGCATGGGGTGGGGGCATGGCAAAGGGAGTACCTGTTGGTAACGAGGGAGCAACAGAAGCTTGGGCGAGAGGGTGACAGCAAAATGGGGCTCCAAAAGTAACTAAAACAGCGGCCAAAACAAGTGGATGCAAAACAACAAAATGGGTCTGCAGCAGAGTTCAATACATGCCAAGACTGCAGCCAGCCTCCAAAACAACGACAAGACACCAGAGGAGTGGGATGCAGCAAAGGCCCGAGGGCGCACCTCCCTCCAGCTGGCTGGGCAGCGAGCAGCTCCTGAGCAGGGCTACTCCAGAAGGCCGCTCAGCGCTCGCCCGTGCACGCCACTCCACCAGACGCCCCCGCCGCCGCCGCCGCGCTGCCGGCTGCCGCCCTTCCCCGCTGCTCCGCCTGCGGCGCCTGCTCCTGCCGTGGCCCGCCAGTGCCGTCGGCGGCGGCCAGAAGCCCCGGGCGCGGCTGGCCGTGCGGCACGACCCGAAACTTGTGGCGGGTGTCTGGGTGCACCAGCTGCTTGATGCCGCTCACCATCCACCCCAGCACCACCGGCATATCAAGCAGCACCAACTCATGCAGCCTGCAGGGGAGGAGGCGTGGTGGGGGGGGGGAGGAGGCATGCGGGGTGAGCGGGGAAGGAGGCATGCGGGAGCGTGTGTGCGGCGCGGTGTGGCATGGCATGGCGTGGTGCTGCGTGGCCTGGCATGGCAGTGGCGGCCTTAGCCAGCACAGCGGGACCGCCGCAGGCCCGCGCGGCGGCGCGACGGCCTGCGGGCGCAACCTGCTGTGCGGCGGCGCGGGCGCCTGCGGCGCAGCCAGCCGGCCAGCCACCTAGCCGCACCTGCCCGGGTAGTGGTGGTTGAGGGTGGCCGCCACCGCCTGGAACACCCGCGTCATGCGGGCGGCGCTCAGGGTGCTGGCCCCGGAGCAATCCATGACCACGATGACCTGCTCGGGCCGCGGCGCGGCGCCGCCGCGGCCGCCGGGACCGCCGCTGCCGCTGGTGCTGGTGCTACTGCCGCTGCTGCCGCTGCCACTGCCGGAGCTGCTGCTGTCGCTGCTGCCGCTGCCGCTGCTGGGGCTAGCAGCAGGGGGGCTGCTGCCAGAGCCGTCGTCCTGGCTACTTCCGGGGGGACAGGCGTCGGCTGGGGCAGGGTTGTTGCCAGTACCGCCACCTTCGCTGCAGCTGCCGCCGCCTTTGCCGCCGCTGCCCCCGCTGCCCGCCTGGCCTGCGCCGCTGCCATCCCATAGCCGCTCCCGCACGCCACGCTCCATCTGTGTTATGACCGCATTGGCAAAGGCCAGGGCCGCGGCGCCGGGGCACTGCATCACCGCTCGGCCGATGGAGATGTGCAGGATGGGTCGCCCTTCGCCGTCGCAGCCCTGCACGGGCAGGCAGGCAGGCAGGCAGGCGGGCAGGCAGGCAGGCACAGAGTGAACATAAGGGGATGCAGGAGGGCACCGGGGGCCGGGAGGCCGCAGGCGCTCCTGACCAGCCTCACAGGCAGCCAGGCGGGCAGGCAAGCGGCCACAGAGCCGGCTGCTGACGCGGAGTCCCTGCTGCCGCCTGCCAGGCAGCCAGGCAGGCGCCTGCAACAGGCCCATGCCGCCGGGCTCGTGCCGCGGGGCTCATGCCGCCTGCCAGCCGCCTCACCCGCCACTGCACTAGGTGCCCAAACCGCTGCAGCTCCTCCTCTGAACAGAAGGGGTGGCCCCGCAGCCAGGCCGCGGTGCGCGCCGCCGCCGCCGCGCCCTCCCGCAGCGCCTGCCGCCGCTCCGCGGCGGTGCCGGCCCGCAGCAGGCCGTGCATGATGGCAAAACGCATGAGCTCGGCGTCGGTGAACCGTGGCAGCAGCGGCGGCAGCTGTTGCTGCGGCGGCGGGGCTTGCGCCGCTGCCCCACCGGCGGGCCCTGAACCCGAGCCTGCCGCCGCGCCGCCGCCTGGCGTGCCCGCCACCGCTGCTGCTGCAGCTGCGGGCGGCAGGCCCGGCGGGGGTGGGGGCTCCGCTGCGGCTGCCGTGCCGCCCCAGCGGCGCTTGGCTCGGGGCCGCTGCTGCTGCTGCTGCTGCTGCTGGTCGGCGGCGGAGCCTGAGGCGGCGTCCAAGCGCGCCAGCTCAGCTGCTGCCAGCTGGCGCATGTGCCGCATCTCTCCTGCATGCTGCGCTGCCAGCAGCGCCGGCGAAACGTCGTGCACCCGCCGAAACTTCATACGCTGCCTGCCGGCCTGCTGCTGCTGCTGCTGCGCTGGCGCCCCCACCTCTGCCTGCCCTGCAGCGGGCCCAGCCGCGCCGGCCTGCTCCCACATCGCTGCTCCGGCAGCATCTGGCGGTGTGCGCCCCGCAGGGGCTGCGCCTGGTGCCGCTGCCTGCGCTGCCGCCGCCGCCGCAGCCGCCTCCTCGGCCGCTGCCAGCGCCTCTTGTTGCCGACCCTCCCCAGCACCCCAGTCATCCTCCAGGTCCTCCCGATCCACTCCGGGCTGCTGCACCTTCTCCAGAAAGTCCTCCACCACTCGCGACAGCGACCAGGAGGCGGGTGCTGCCGCGCCGCTGCCGCCGCTGCCGCCGCTGCCGGCTGCCCAGGGGTAGCTGGGCGAGGACCGCGGGTCTTCGCTGAAGGCCACCACCGTGGGCACAGCCGCGGCCGTGCCCAGGGCCAGCGCCGCGGCCAGCCGGCCTCTGAGGCGGCCTTGCCTCATGCCTGGCGCTTGGGGGCGCCCTGCCGCTGGTTGGCGCACACCAGAATGCAAGAGTGATGGGCAGCACAGGTTTCTGAACTCAAAAGTGGCATTTTTGGCATAACCTGGTGCGCTGCTGCCTGCTGTGCTCCGCCCAGCGTGATGGGCGGAGGACCCCGCCTTGGCATGATACTTGATCAATCACTGTCCGATCAGGTTGTCACAAAGTGGTTTGGGTGGCCCGGAGCGCCCGCGCCATATTCTGCTCCTACACCTCGTTGGCCCCTGAAACAGACGGTCGGAGATCAGGAGAGCATCAACAAGCAGCTGGGAATCGTCCTGCAGGCAGACAGACGGACATGTTCCGCCGGCGGGCAGCGCAACTGGCGGCACAGGGCCTGCGGGCCTGGCAGGAAGGCCTCACCGCAGGCAGCAGCTGCGCAGCGCACCCGCCGCTGCCGGCCGCCGGGAGCAGCGGCAGCAGCAGCTGTAGCAGCAGCGGCGCGTGGCTTCGGTGGCGGCACACAAGCCGAGCAGGCGCTGGCGCGGCGGCCGCCGCCGCCGGGCGCGCCGCGCGGCCAGGCACACAGCATGCACAGGGCGCGGCGGCGGCGGCCGCACGCGGCTGGCGGGTCAGCGCCTGGCAGCAGATGCGGCGGCAGTGGACGGACGGTCGCGGGTACCAGCACTTCCGGGGCAGGGGCCGTCCCGCATCCGCGGTACTGCACTCCCGAGAGGCGCGCAACCGGGCGGCCACCATCCTCGCCGTCGTCGGCGCCGGCGGGACCGTGGTATGGGTCAGCAGCCGGGAGGAGGTGCCCTACACGCGCCGCATGTGAGAGCAGGGAGGGCCGTACATGGGAGGCCATGCATAGGAGGGTCATGCGCACAGGAGGCCATGCATGCATGGCTGGCCGCTTCTGGCCATCGCGAGTCCCTCCTCACTCCCTCCCCACCCCTCCTCCTGCTTCTCCACCCCACCCTCCACCCACCACACACACACGCGCGTCCCGCTCCCCTGCAGGCACGCCATCCTGATCAGCCCCCAGGCCGAGATGGAGCTGGGGCGGCAGACCTTTGAGCAGGTGCTGGCCGAGGCGGCGGTGGCAGGCAGCCTGCTGCCCAAGAACCACCGCGCCACGCAGGCGGTGCAGCGGGTCGGCATGCGGGTGGCAAAGGTGAGCGGTTGCCGGTGTGTGTGGGGGTGGCCGGGCGAGCGGCCGGTTGTCTGTGAGCGAGCAAGCGGCGGGTGTGTCCGTCGCAGCTTGCACCCCACACCCCGCACCCCACATCTCACACCTCGCACCTCGCGCCTTCCGCGCCCACACCCCGGCGCCCCCACGCTGCACCCCACTCCCCTGCTGCCGCAGGCCGCCACCGACGGCTACGGCGGCGGCTTCCAGGGACACCTGCAGGGCCTGCGGTGGGAGTTTGCGGTGGTGGACAGCCCCCAGGTCAACGCCTTTGTGGTGCCGGGGGGCAAGGTCGTGGTGTACACAGGTGGGCGCGGTAGGGTGGTGGTGTACACAGGTGGGCGCGGCAGGGTGGTGGGCAGATGTGTGTGTGCTTTGGTGGGCCGGAGGTGGACACAGGTGTACAGAGGTGGGCAGAGGGCTGAGCGCAGGCGCGCACACACACGCACGCGCGCGCGCGCGCGCGCGCGCGTTTGCACACACTCACGCATTGAAGAAGAAGCAGAAGGAGAATGGCAGCCATGCGCCGCCGGCCCCCCCTGCAGGCCTGCTGCGCATGGTGGGCGGCGAGGACGAGCTGGCGGCGGTGCTGGCGCACGAGGGCGCGCACGTGGTGGCGCGCCACGCTGCAGA